AAAAAAAAAAAAAAATTAATAATATATATATTTTTTTTTATGAGATCCATTTGTGGCGGACGATATTTAATTATGGCGGCCCGCCACAAATAAATCAATGTATGGGAAACACTGACCTTAGCACATGTATTCTACCTGGTGTGTACTCTTTTGATTCTATTAACGTGTGCTTGCCACTTTGTTTGATATCGTCATTTACTCTTCCTGTTTGCCTTTTTCCCGCACCGTCCCCTTTGCTGTAACGCCGTAAATGTTCCTGCTGTGCGACAGATATAGAATTTCACATTTGATCCGGTTTTAGATGTATTTACCTGCCGCTCAGTTGAATCCTGTCGGCCAGTTTGGAGAGCTGGTCAGGTAGCCTCCTCTGTTTGATGACGCCCTCCGGAGTGACGGACACTTCACACAGCGAGTACGCTTCAGGGGCTGCTGTCAGAGCAAACTCCCTGATGGCCTGAGCCACCACCTCCTTCGCCGTGGTGTCCTTCCCGATCATGATGTACCGGGACTGCTGGTCCGCCTTGAAGACTCGCAACACCTGGTCCGACATATCTGAGGGTGACAAGGATACACAATGAGGGTGGATGCTCACTTATTAGCTTTGTTTTGACTGAGAGGCATCTTAAGCAATTTCTTCCATTTGTTTCCCAAGATGAATAAACAGTCATTCCATCTTCCAAGAATTCTCTTTTAGCAAGCATCCATCACCAGCATCCATCTTTTGGATGTCACCCGCAAACCTTATTATCCGTAATTCATTAGTTTGATCAGAAGCACAACCACCACCAATCATAGGACCCAAAATCTCCAAAGTATTTAAAGGGAAAACCATAAATATGTGCCGTGTGAAATGTATGTGAGTTTGACATTAAGGAGTTGACAAAGAAGCGGGATCACAGGGAGAGAAATACTCACTCGGTACGACTGGGACTGGAGGAACACAAAGAACATGTGATGAGCAGGAGGTAAAGGGGATACACATATAGGTACTATGTGTATATTCTATTCATGTAAAGCCCATTAAATGTAAGGGAAAGTTTCCAAAGCTCCTAACTGAAATGAGCCAGAACAGTATAATCATTATGTTAAGATCTTCTCATGTTACACCTAATGCTGGATGATTTGTACTAAGGGTACACATCTGGGTCAATGAACAGAAATATCAATGCGTGAGATCAACCTGAACATTAAAATAGCGGCTTAATGAGAAACCCACTGTCCCCAGGAAAAGGAACAATATATATATTTTTTTAAAGTAACCCATTAAATGTTTGAGTATGTTTCCCCTGCTGCTAATTCAAATAAGCCGTAAGAAAAAACGTTTAATGAAGGACATAATGATCGTTTGATGAAAAATGAATGGCCACACACTCCACATTATATCCACAGAGCAGGAGTTAGTCCTCACCAGGCTGGTTGTTGAAGTCGAGGATGCGGTGGTGGGACTGCAGCAGGTCGGGGTTTGACGACGAGAGGTTTCCGCTGACGGGCAGAGCTGGCAGTGCGATCTGTTTGGACTGCTTCATCCCCACGATACTGTCGTCCTGCGATTGGCCAACGCAAACGTCACTATGGAAACAAGAGGGGAGGTATCAGTACTGTCAACAAAAGGCAGGGGGCGATATTTGTGTTGGTTGCTGTGGACCCATAGACTAGTAAATTCTGCAAGTAAAAAAAAGTCAGATTTGACACCTTGTTGGGTGAGTTTAGTAGTTTATGCTCATATTTTGGTCGATAAATATAAATAGGGTTAGTATAGGGTTAGGGTTAGACCTGGTACTAGATCATTAAAGAAAACTGAATGAGAATCCCACTTTCCCCAAAAATAGCTACAACTCAGTATTGGCAAAACTTAACTTTAACAACTTAGCTTTTACTAATATATTATCCATTCTTTCTCAGTTATATCACATTATTATTCATCCATTCCTCTGTCACTGTCAGCTGTGGGCTGATCTGGTGTCAGCACTTCAATTATGTCGAATAAAAAAGTCAAAAATATGCACTTTTATTCAAGGTTTTCCTGCAGCATTTAAGAGTGAGGGCGCCTCGCTTCAATAGTAAAAAGATTGCCTTGACATTTTTATAAAACATAAAATAAGGTCTATTAAGCTTCAGGGAGAAGGAGCTATGGCGCTAACTCACAGCATAAGCCCCACGTTTCATCAGGGAAATGATTGTTTAAATATTTCTTTGAAAACTACACTGAACGCGAGATCAGAAGCGTCGACATCCGTCTGATTCAGCTCAGCAGGTGATTGATGATTGTACATTCGCTTGGCAGAACTCAATCAGAGCAGCGTGGCGCAATGTCGGGAGAAAATGACAACTTTTCCTGAGCTTTAACAATTTAGGAAAGTGGAGACAAACAGCCCAATTAGTCTCAATCAGAGGGGGGTGTATGGATCACTGCTTCGTCTGCACACCATTGTATTAATCACATCTTTCTCTCTCATGCCTTCAGCTCTTTGGATAGAGACCAATCACAGATCTGTGTGCCAGTGTAATTACTTGTATGGTTTAGGCGGCAGGATGCTGGTGAGTGTTTTGTCGAAGATCTTCTTCAGCTTGTTGCGTCCTCCCACAGAGTTGGACTTGGCCTTCTTGCTGACCTTCTCCAGGCCCATCACCTGCTCCACGTCCACCGCCAGGTCGGGGATGGAGTAGCGGCTCGCCTTCTTGATGTCTCCGATCTTCGGGAGGTGGGGCGCTCCGTTCTTTCTCTCGTGTTCCTCCTCACCGTCCAGATCATGGTCGTGTTCTGGCCTGGTGAGCAGATCTTTAAAAACTGGACAGAAAGGGAAGAGGAGACAAATAATTAGTAAGAGAACGTATTCAGAATTAGTAACGGAATAAACATTGTTAACCAGCAACTATGTGCAATATGTGCAATATATATATATATAGATATATATATATAAATGCCGTTAATAACTGTGCAATATATACCTGGCAGCTAAATCCTCAGAACTGTTACAGGACGTGTTTTTTGTAAATTGTGTAACTTTTTATATTATAATTTATTTGTATCTTTAATATTTATTTTTGTATGCATGCTACTTAGGTAACATCAATCTGTCTTCTGCTGTAACAATGTACATTTCCCCTCTGTGGGACTAATAAAGGTATTCTGATTCTGATTTATAAGTATGGACACAATTAACCTAGTCTCTTTATTTTAGCTTTCAAAGCACGTATGTCTCTTCTGCAATTATTAGGATCCTTTCTCTTGGTTGAAATGGCTCTCATTGATTTAATAGAATAGAATATGGAGGGATGAAACCCTCTTTAATGGTCACACATGCAGAGCACACAGCACACACAGTGACATGTGTTCTCTGCATTTAACCCATCCTAGCACCAGGAGTCTAGTACTAGGAGCAGTGGGCAGCTATTGCACAGCGCCCGGGGAGCAATGGGAGTGTGGGGGGTTAAAGGAGGGGGATGTCCGGTGCCTTGCTCAAGGGCACCACGGCAGGGCAGGAGGTGAACTGGAACCTCTCCAAGAAGAAGTCCACACTCCATATTTTAGGTCTGGTCGGGGACTTGAACCAGCGACCCTACAGCTCCCAGTCCAAGCCCCTACTGACTGAGCCACTGCCGGACATTTAATACACTAGTTCCGAATGCTTTTTGTTTGTGACATCATACAAGTGAGCAATATCTACTTGCAAAGCTTACTGGTCACATTTATGTACCGGTTATCACAACTGAATTCACGAGAAGTCCGCAGATGCAAGTGTCGTCAAATCAGAAACTAAATGTGTATGTTTCCTTTTCACTAGTCAAATAAAATATATCTTTAGCCAAACTCATGCCCAAGTTCATGAGAGACGGGCCATCAATCATACATGAATATTCAAAATAAATGAGCATTTTAAAGGAGAAACAGGTTTGAATATCGTGCCACCCTTCACATTTCGACATCATTCTAACAAGCTGTATCTTACGAATGTGATGCAACTTTACCTAAAAGGTTTGTTTTCACAGTTATGGACAAGTGGGTGTTGTTCTTCAGAATCTCGTTGGCTTTGTTGAGCTGCACGTTCTCGAAGTTCTGCCCGTTCACCTCCAAGATCTGCAGGAGGAAGAAGGCAGAAATAAACCCGGTGCATTTTAGCAAACAATTGGCGGAACACAACTTTTTACTCCGGAATTAAAAGGATACCAAATCTTAAGCTAAGGCTACCTCATCGTGAATAACTGCATTGGATCAGGGCAGAAGGTGTTAAGCCTTGCACTAATGTTAAAGTTCCAGGTGATGATCTCTGAACCACGTATTTTATTCAGCGCACAAAGAACAAAACCTCTGGCATGACATTTAGTCCAACACATGTTGTAAGACATTCATCTGAGCCATGTCTCCTTCAGATTGTCTTCACAGCTTGCCCTCTTAATAGGCCGGATATTTGCATTTTAACACAATATGCTAACCAGCCTCTGCCGCTTCCTTTTTAGTGGAAGTGGAAGTCACCTTTGACCGTAACATACGCAGAGACCATCCTCCGGTAAGCAGTGACTTATTAGACCAAAACGTCCGGGATCAGCGGCGATTAGCGACACTCTCACTACTTAAGAGACTTCTGCTTATGGCACGATGACGAAACAAATGGGACTAATACCACAGCTCTGCAGCGACAGGTTCTGAATGTATGATGATTGTAAGAGAAGCTGGTAAAAAGTGGAAGGTGTGTGTGTGAGAGAGTGAATGCTTCGAAAAGATGCCAGCTTCTCCGCTTGCTTTTGGGGAAACAGCTGCGGAGGATGTTTGGAGTCAAGAGGGCTTAGCTCGCATCCAGACACTCTCAAGATGGTTTCAAGGATTAAGGGACTTTGCTTAAAGCCCTGAGGACTGCAGAGTGTGAAAATGTTCCAGCAGTCAAGTCGCGAGAAGAAAGCCAAAGCCTGCAGCTACTGGCAACTTTCGAAAAAAAAACTTTTAATGGTAGTTATAGTAAAATGTAAAACCAATTTCACAACAAAAAATGAATTTTCAACACCAGAAAAAATGCTCTATTCAAGTGCTGGTCTGTGTGACATGAGTGAATGTTGCTCTCAATTGTAGCCTGAAGCCAAAAAGTGTGCACTTTTCCTCCCTAGAGTCAAATATTTGAGTACACTTTAAACACTTTCTCACAGCAGAAGGAAGGTTTCTATGTGACACATATCCTACCTGATCTCCACGCTTAAGGCCAACTTCTGCTGCCTTGCTCCCGGGCTCCACGGCATCGATGAAGACGCGGAACCCTTTCTCCTGACCTCCGAGGAGGGTGAAGGCCAGCGGAGAGTCCCTGGACGGCTTGGTCAGCGTCACCAGCCGCGGCTTGGCTTTAGCAGCACACGCTATGTTTAACAGTCTGAGGTGCCCACACATTTTCTGGAAGACAAAGAGGACACGGATGTAAGGAAAGTGCAATAATTGGCATATTTGAAGTACCGTACATTTATTGAGTAATTAATGTGTAGGTTTTTTATACTTACTTCTTTCTCCAGATTGTTTTCAAACTCTTCCAGAAATTGAGTCATGGCAAGGTCACCCTCAAAGTCATTGAAGTGATTGTTTACCCACAGCAAGACTACCCGTGTAACCTGGAGGGATCACATGATCAGCACGGGTCAATAAACTGTTTACTGGTGGATTGATAGTTCATGCATTATAATAGTTAACATCTGGTTCATGGAAAAACTTCATTTGCATGCAAGCTATAAATTACTCAATGTGTGTTTTTGCAGGAAATAGACTCCATTTTCTATATATCAGATATTCTGTTAATCATTCATATTTGAGTTATGTCATCAGTTCATGAAGAGAATCTCCCGTACCTTGTCCCTGAGGCTGGGGTCGTGGAACCACTCCAGGAGCTTCCTGCCCACGACCATGGGGCTGGAGAGGAAGGTCCTGTAGGTCAACAGGAAGTCCTCGATGTAGGTGGGGTCCACTACTGAGTGTTCCTCCACCAGGTGCATGGTGAGACGCTCCGATGTGCCCTGAGGTTCAAAATAATGGTTTTATTTCTTTAGATTCCTTTTATTGTCACCACACAGAGTACAGCGAAATTCCCGATGGTGCAATCACACATAACAGACAGTATAAGTATCATTTTGACAATATAAGCTAAAACTTTTAATATTTAATATATAAAGTGACAATACAACATTACCATACAAATACAAGAACAATACGTTCAAGGCAGTAAAAAATGCAAACAAGTTGATAAGCAAGTTATTGCACATGTACTGTATTTATCGGTGCAGTTGATGATTACAAAACAAAAAATAAATATGTGTTCTATTAAAAACAATCTTTCAAGCAAATTGGCGAGCATGTATCTGTTAGAATATCTAGCTGTCATTATTTGGTTGGCTGTTGAGTGACACTCCAATTTAAAAAAAATGTAAAATGTGAATTTGCTGAGCCTTGACGTGTTACCTTGATGACGATGTGTCCTTTCCTGGTGCCGGTTCGGTCCAGCTCGCGGTGCTCCTTCACCATGACGATCTCCCCTTCCTCCTCCACCTTCTGCATGTTCTTCTCCACCTGGTTGAGGATGCAGCAGTAGTCCTGCTGGGCTATGCACACAAACTGGAGCAGAGTGACAGAACACAGAGTTAGAGACGGGATGAAACATTTGACACAAACTATATTCATCCTACATGCTTTACAGGATTGGAGTTGATGTGTTTTAAACATGTATATTACTGAAACAACATCTTCATTAATGGCAAATGACTACAACCGATAGATTACAAATGTATTCTACATAGCAACTAAACAATTGATGAATTATGAAAACAATGGCTTTTGCTGATTGGGATGAAACACTTTCTAATCCCAACCACTGAGTTCATCTCCTGACGATTAAACGGACGAATCAGTGTGTGTACTTTCACTACTCAGCACTGTTTTCCCATTGAACACATGATGCCAATAACGTGATCTTGCTCTTTAGATATTCTATTTCAAAATGGTTGTTCACATTTAAGGGGAAGCCCTCGCCCAAAGCTACTTACAATATCATGAGAGCAAACATTGTCTGCATACGCTGGATCACAGTGGGACTTCATATCATTAGATATGAGAGTTTGCCCACTGAGATGCAGATGAAATGGACTTCCTATCCGTGTGATACCGTGCAGGATCGTTACGCTCCTACCTGGCAGTCGTCCACCTTGGTCTTCATCACGCCCTTCATGTACTCCTTCTCCATGGTGGGTGACACCCCGAAGCTGTTCCCCATGCACAGGATCTCTGTGCGGCCCTCGGGGTACGTCACCTCCACCGAGCCGTTCAGGATCACCGACCACGAGTCCAGCTGGAGCGCAAACACAACATTATATTAGAACCAAGAACGAAAAGGAAGAAGCTAAACGTTGGAAAAGGGACACATCAGTTCAGTTTTATTCCCGACAGCTGGTGTCACTTAACGAGTCAAAGTTATTTATCACAAAGAACCAGATGCACTAACTAGAACGGGACAGATGGTTTTTACCTCCCTTAGAGTGATACAGAAAAACAGGGAATGTTTAGAGCGACTGCAAAACACGACTAGAATATGAAGGTGACACGGCTACGAGTGAACCATAACTATTTACATATACTCTATACTTTACTTAAGTACAATTTTAAGGTACTTGTACTTTACATTAATCACTTCCCGGTTCTGCTTGGTTATACTTCTACTCAACTATAATTTAGAGGCACATATTGTATAGTGATGGGAATTATGGCTCTTTGAAGGGAGCGGGACCTTTGCGAGAGCCGTTCAAAAGAGCCCGGTTTTTTTTAAGGGGGCGGGGCTACTAGGTTTATCTGCGAAATATACCTTTTATAAGTCAATCTAATGTAGCCCTGTTTTGACTAATGATCACTTAAATTATTCAATACATCCTTTGTACTGAACTATTCAAAGTAAAAATTACATTTTTAATATAAATGATTTGCTGTGGCCAATTGTTTTCATTGCATTTACAGACCCTTGTAACTCTCTGATTCTACAACCACGCAGGGGGATAGGGTGTACTATAGGTCTCTAATCCTGACACACCTACGACGACAAAACACTCGGTACACGGCTTATATAAATGAAAAGTAATAACACATAATATAAATACTAAATGGGAAAATCCGGAGTCGTTTCTAAACAATAGTCAAACATTATCCACAACGGTAGACAAAA